TCTATCTATCTATCTATCTATCTATCTATCTATCTATCTATCTATCTATCTATCTATCTATCTATCTATCTATCTATCTATCTATCTATCTATATATATATCTATATATATATCTATATATATATATATATATATATATATATATATATAAGATATAAGAGTAAGATAAGGATAAGAATAAAATAAGATAAGGGTAAAAATAAAACAAGATAAGGATGATATGTAAGAACAACCTCAATAATTAGTAAAAGTAGGTATTTGAACAGGTTCCTCTAGCCAGTTGGGGCATGAGCCAGGGACTTATCTCCTGTTTCCAAAATGCATCATAAACTGCTTGAGTAAGCTTTTCTACTATGATAACTGGTGAGTAAAATAAAAAATATTCAATAAAATGTATTTGTGTTTAATACGTATTTTTTCAGATAAACTTTAATTCTGAACTGTAGGCCGACATAATGGGTCTTGATGAACCGTTTTCAGTTAGTAGCTTTGTGTCAGTCAGTCCAAGGTCATTTTAATGGCTTGTGAGGATGTATTAGCCGCAAGGGCTGCTGGGTAATTTCAAGATGGGGAAAACATCACCATTTCATCCTAGTTTGGTGTTAAAATGGGGTTGTTTATCTTGGTAGTCTGTCCATGCTAAGCTAAAATTATGTTTTGGAGGTTGCAGTTGTAGATGTTAATATTGGCAACATTTGGGAGAATGTTTCACCAATTGCATATAAGCGAACAACAATTTTCTGAATTTTCTGCAATGCATCACTAACTAATTATGTCTTTCAACATACAAGGTATGTATGAAGTAGTGCTTCATGTCCCTCTGGTATGTCTGCTTTTTTCTTCTTGAACCTCAGTTGTCATTGGCAACCTTGCCTTGCAAGTCAATGACTCAATATAATCACCTGTTTATCCTTGGTAGTAAGGATAAACAGTTAACCAATCTGATTTTACTATCTCTGTAAAGTGCCTTGAGATGACATGTGTTATAAACTGGCACTACATAGACAAACCAAACAGATTTAAAAGTTACATTTTAGTTTTTTTTTACTTATCATCTTACTGTATCACTTATTTGTCTCTCTTTCTGTTGAGCTCATGATCTGCCATTTGCCATCTTGTTTCCCCCTCATATTTACTTTTGTCCTTTCCTAGAGAATCCCTCTCTGTCTCTGCTGCAGAAGACTTTTTTCAGTCCAGTGAGCTGCCACGCTACAGGCTTCTATCCTAAAAGAGCCCTGATGTTCTGGAGGAAAGATGGGGAAGAGATTCATGAGGACGTGGAACATGGAGAGATCCTTCCAAACAATGATGGGACCTTCCAGATGATAGTTTACCTGAATGTATCCTCAATCCGTCCTGAAGATTGGAGGAGATACAACTGTGTGTTTCAGCTCTTTGGGAAAGAGGAAGAAACCATCCAACTGGATGAAGCAAAGATAACAAGCAACCGAGGTGAGGATAAAATGTTTCTGTTACTTTTGTTATATTTTGTTGTGCATTTAATTCAATGTTGTCGTTTTGTTTCATTAACCAGAAATCTCTTCAAAAAGAGGTCTTGGATCTCAATGAGACTCTCCATATAAATAAATGTTACATCTCTCATACTCACAAGTTAGGTGTATCAGACTCACAAGTTAGGTGTATCAGAGGACTGTTCATTACCATGTGTTTACTGTACTGGTAAGCTGGCACTGAGCTTAACAGCCGAAAAATTATTTTAAAAGCCAAACAATTCTGCTTATAAATAAGCTGCATGTTGGTCTCCTCCTCATATGAAGATACAGTTGTGTGAGATTTTACTCAAAAACAGGCTGAATCTAAACACAAGTTTACCATTCTAAATCCTCTAAAACTGTGACATGAAGCACTGAGTTTTTAGTGTTTGCCTTCAGTTTACGCACTTTGCAATTAAACGAAAATATATATATTTCTTGTTTATCGAACATGGATGGGTTTTTCGCTTTTCCAAGTTTGTGCTATGCCAACTTGTTCATACTTTGATTAAATGAATGTAATTTGGTCTGTTATGTTTTTTTGTTCTTCTTTCTTAATTTACCAGAGAAGCCCAGTAACACAATCAGCCCCATGACTGCTGCTATGATTGGTTCTGTTCTTGTATCCATTGCTGCTGCTGCTGGATATGTGGTCTATAAAAAGATTTAAAGTAAGCAACTTGGATTGTATGTCTCGTATAATATGCTTTCATTCATTTTGTAAATTTATGAGGACATCTGGTACAAAGCACCATTGACTATTTGGTAGTGATTAGAGGACCAGAATGAAGAAGCAAGAATAAAAACTAAATGTTTTTGTTTGATTCGTTGATGTAGATAATATGTTTTAATAAATTAAAGATTAACATATTTTGGCATTAATAAAAGGTAATATAAATTCTTATATTTTGTTTTACAGACAAAAATCTGCTTGTGCCATCATCCTGTAAGAACACCCCCAACATATTTTTTCTCTCAGCTAATTGTGTTGCAGTAATTCAGCGAAATCACTTCCTTTGCATGTTGTGGAATAATTTAATATTGCTCAGAGAGGTGTAAGATGAAGTGATCATACAGTCGTCCTTTAGGTTATTTTAGCAATTCGTTCATTCATTTATTTTATTCATTCAATTTATTTGTATAGCTTCAAGTTAAAACACATGTCATCTCAGACCACTTCCCATAGACAATTTAATTAAGTCATTCTGACAGATTGGTTAAAAATCCTCTAAAGCCCCTGTCACACCTTAAGGAAAAACAGCTGATTGCATCAAGTCATTGACTCTAGAAGGCACACTCCTGCTGGATGAGCCTGTGGCAACAGTGCATAGTCTCCTGCATTTTGTCATTGACTCTTAAGCAATCCGTCACTCCGAGCGTGCACACATCAACAGCGGAGAAGGAGAAACTCCCTTTTAACAAGAAGAAGCCTCCATTAAAAACAGGCTAAAAAAAACTGATATACAAGAGAAACAACGGTGGCCGGCCCAGCTGCTATTTCTTTCCAGAATAGTGTCATAGCTTAACAGGAACATACAAGATGTAACTACTATGATTAGAACAAGCAGAAACCAGATAAAATAGGGGTTGAAATAGGAAATACTGCAGAATGGGACAATAGAAATAGAGTAAAGCAAAATGATGAAAAGTGGTCCCTATATCCTCCAGCAGTCTAAGCCTATACCAGCATAACTATAGCAATAGCTATAGTTATACCCTGGACCACTAACTATAGGACTGATCAAAAACGAAAGATTTAAGCCTAGTCCTAAAAGTATACAGGGTGTCTGCCTCACAAACTAAAACTTATAAACTGAACTGCTGGTTCCATAGGAGAGATACCTGATAACTTAAGGATCTGCCTCAAGTCAATATAACTGAGTAAATAAACCTAGTTACTACCCATGTCTTCCAGTTGGTGACAAAGACTGCAATTTCTTGTATTATCAAAATTGTGTAGAAAAATAAATGTTCTTGTTTTAAAAATTCAATATGACCACATATTTTGGAAATGTAAATATCATTTTATCTTAGGAGTAGAAGAAATCTTTATTTTTGTAGATGGCCCCAAACTCTGTCTTCAATAAAACGTCTCTAGCCTTGTTTTAGTTTACCTCAGCTTCATGAATGTTTGCATCCATACTGTAATTTCCACCACTTGATCTAGGTTTTCCATAATTTGTAAACCTATTTATATGTTTAAAGGCTCATATGCAGTGTAATGCAAATAAAATCTATTCTTACACCTCTAATGGAATTTCCAGTGATAGCTTTGATGTGGGCATGTTGGTGTAGTATGTTATTTTAAATACCATCTTCAGGTTATCCCCTTGGGTCTTAATAGGTTAAAACAAGTGAAACTGTGTATGTTCATAATAATAAGATGCAGCAATATGTTAAAAATATATTTACCATCTACATCTCTTGCGAAGTTCATCTGCTAACACCTTCTCTTAATGCCAATACTGTTGTCGTATATCTCAGGGTTGTTCTGCTCTCTATTTACTGTGACTCTTTCTGACCTTTCAGACCCTTGGAGAGACTTTGTCCTCAGCGACCAGCTGAATGAGACCTGATGAATCAACGGATAGCTCATTAAATTTACAAAAAATATATTTTCATGTCAAAATACAAATTATTATTGTTCTACTTTTTTTTTAGAAGTAAATCAAATATGAAGAGGTTAACACAACTAATGATAATGAATTGAAACCAGATTTATATCTCTGCTAACACCTGTTGATTCTTGTTGAACACCTGTTGACTGTTTATTATTAGATCAGCTGAAACTATTCATTTGACATCATTGTTAAAGGTTTAATTAAGGTTAAAATAAGTTTAAGACTTTTGTTATGGTATTACTTCTATTTTAAAGTAAGTTGCTACATTCCCGGTGAAGTTGGATCTGTGATTGAATGTACTCTGAGCCAGATGCTATATAGCAGATAAGCTTCTTTAGCCGTTGTTGACTTTGTGGAAGAGGTTTTGCTGGATACATGTATATTTTGGGTCTTCAAGCACAAGAAAACAGAGAAACCAAAGATCTATGTTTAGCTCATCAGTTCTTGTTATGATCATGAAAAAATGGAGCGTCAAAAAAATTATTTTGTCATCGGTGACAAAAACAACACTGCTTGGAAAAGAGAGAACATCAAACAAAACAGCAAACATAGACAACACAGAAGATAAGCTGTATGAGAATAGAGGAACAGACAACAGAGAGCATAACAGCAAAAAGAAGACAACTGACTACCAAATTAAACATCAAAAAGAGTTCAAGAGCACCAGGTATCCCCTAGATGTCCATGTATGTGGAAGGCAAAACCTATGGTGATTAAACAATATTATTCAGATTGGCATATATCTGTAGTGTAGCTTCGTATCTATTATTAGGGTGTATCCGTAAGCATTTGAAACCAAACTCCTGTGGTATGTATGCATGGGCATTGTCGTGCATAAAAGATTTACAAGGCTTCTTTGGAAGGAAAATATGCTGAAAAGCATATTGGCGGCCCCAGGCTCGCCCTACAGGTCCCAGGACCAACTAAGAGTAGAACCCCACCCCATATATCCAAAGGAGCCAAGGGCAGACATAGAGATGGCCGCACCCACCAGAGAAGGGCAGACCGGAGCATCTGGAGCCCGACCACCAATGGGCCCAAACCCAAAGGGTCAAAACCCAGAGGCCACAGTGCCGAGGTACCGTGGGGCCATGGCAGCAAGCCCCTGGACTCTGCCAGTGGCCGGTCATGCCCAAGGTGGACCCGGAAAAGATCCCTGTGTTCCGAGGTCCGGAATTAAATTATTAGTAGTATTAGTGCCTAGAGGCACTTCTTTCTTGCTTTCAGGCAGTCATTTATGAGACATAATTTAATGTTTCCCTGAGGTAATATCAGTAGTCATTCAACACAGTCCAAACTACAGTTAACAGAGAAGCTCCAGCAGTTCATTTAAGGTCAGTGTTTGTCTCTGCCTTCTCAATCCAAAAAAGTTAAAAAAAACAATCCACTGGATTTTGTTTCCTGGTTTGAACACATGGATTGTTTTTTAACTTTATTGGAATGACGATGACGTGGATGACTAGGAATTTTCACCAGCTCTCTTCCTTCTCGAGCCTCAAATATCAACTGGTTTAGGTATGTCAACAAGATGACTTTTAAAATCGAAAGAAAGAAAACCAATAAGAAAGCTGCGTCTTATGGTCATGTATTTACCTATCCCCTTAAGTCCAGAATTACATTTATATTTGTGTTTGTGGTGGATGTAAAGTAGTTTGGATTAGCTATTCCGTTAAAGGTGGAGGTAAATTATTGTTGGTCCTTTCTCATTGTATCAATGTTCGTTTCAGTTCCATTTGTATCTTTGTATTAAAAATCACAGAATATATAAAATATCACCTAAAATACCTGGTTCTCTTTTCTTTCCTGATTTGTGCCTCATTATCCCTCCAGGGATAATGGGATTGCAAGACTGGAGATATTAAAGGTTTTAAACTTCATGGCATAATGGGGAAGACTTCCTAACATTTGAGACACAGACAGAACATGTTGAAAAAGCAGGAGAAAAATGCAATGGAGATAAAATCAAGGCTGGTTATTTGAAGAACCTGTTAACAAAAGATTGCATTGCATGGTTAAAAAATGTATCTGGAGTATGAGATGGCTTTTCTGTACAATGGTAAGACTGATTTTTAAAAATAACAAAAATCAGATTTTATGCATTATCTTTTGGTTGTGCCATGCTGTATATTTAGGTGGTAATTCCCCTTTATTCTTAGAAGGACAATAAATAAAAAGATTTCTGAAAAGTAATTTTTGGGGTGTCAGGAAAGTGGTGTCAGGACAGTAAAATGCAAAGTTGTAAAAATGCCCAAAATGCTGACATAATAATAAATAGTTTTTATCTGGTAAAAAGGTACAGAAAAAAATATTCAATAGTTATTCTAATATTAATATTAATCGGTATTTTGATAAGACATAAATATTAACATATTATTAATATTAAAATTTATTTTTAAAAAAACTTGCATATACCTGATCAAGCATAACAAATTGCAACATTTCTGTGATGTTTTTCACTTTCTATCCCCCGTTTCTCTCCTTTGCTCTCAGTCTTTGGTCTGTTTTCTCAGATTACCCCCTTCTGCATTTTAGACAGAAGCTCAAATTTACTCAAGGTAGTAATGTGAAGAACAATCAGTCCAATAGTCCAAATATAAATGTCAGCATTCACCTCTGAAAATTATATTTCATATGCAGGTAAATTCTGACGCCCTCTGGTGGAGGAATTATTCAATGGAATGGAACAGTGGGGTAAAAAACTTTTGACAAAAAAACTGCAGACTAGATAATATAAAACAAAAAACAAAAGAGTAATAAATAACTGTCAGAAAGGAAAATAATTCTGTACCGTTATTAAAAAAAAAAAGAATAATAAGCCGAAAATGTTCATGCTAAAAGACAGAAATTATTTTGTTCTTGTTATACTCTTAATCATGTATTTAAATCCAAACCTCACAAGAACATTGACATTTTTTTTGCTACGGCCCTCCTTCAGTGTCTCTCCTCCAGAGGTCTATGCTGCTGCAGGTTTGCACCCTAACAG